AACTTCCTTACTCATATTATTCACTTCCGTACTGTCACCCTGAGAAAATACAGGATAGTGCAGAAAATCTGGGGGAAGTGCTACGTGGTGACCGGATTGAAAATTCTCTTTATGTGGTCAGTCTTATATTTATGACTAATAATTAATTCTGGCATGTTTTATTGTATTAAGGATATCTGCTGATAGTGACTCGGTAACTTTTTGTAGTTTAAAATGCGTGAGCCACAAATGTGCAATATATTGTGTAAGCTGAAACTTGATGGTAAAACTGCAAAGGAGTTTAAAGAGAAGATTGATGATGAGTATCGGGTGAACATGTATGGCATGCCAATATATATTTGTCCGTGGGTGACTACAATTTTGAATTCTTTCATGGAAGTTGTTTCTTTCTTGTAATGGTTCTGCCTATTGATTCACAGGATCCTAGACAACCTTCCTCTGGTTGTTCCCCTAAAACGAATGGACCAGGATTCTACTGTTTATCAGCTTGGTTTCCATGTTGGGCTCAAAGGCCAATATACTGGGGTATATTTCCTTTCTTTAAATTTGAAGCAAAATTTCTCTCGTGAATTTGAATTATTTTCTTGCTTACTCTTTCTGCATGCAGAGCAAGGAGGAGAAGTATTTCATCCACAACCATTTGGCATTTACTGTCAAGTATCATAAGGATTCGCAGACTGAATCTGCCAGAATAGTTGGTTTTGAGGTTAAGCCATTCAGGTCCCTCCTTCTAGCCCTGCCCTTTCTTTTTTTCATTCCTTCTAAGTGGTTCATCTTTTGTGGCATGTAATGTGATGATTTTCTAAATCTGACTGTTGATGTGCAGTGTTAAACATGAGTTTGACGGAAAATGGGACAAGAAAAAGACCCGTTTAACAACCTGTGATCCTCACACTAAACGCACAGTTGTCAACTCAAACACTCCTCAAGAGGTCGAAGAGAACAAGGAAATTATATTCACATACGATGTTGAATTCCAGGTGAGGTTAAAGAGAAGGAGGTGATAACTTGCTTGCATGAGCCTAGCTTTAGTATACAAGGTTAAGCCTTTGATTGGGGAAAAGCTTTTGGTTTTCCTTTGCGGGCTAAATTTATCAGTGTTATTCTAGCTTTTTTTTTTTTTTTTTTTTTGGGGTCTTCTCATCAGTAACTTCTCTGATATGACCAAGTTTTCTTCTCTTATATCCTCCACCTATTATTGTTGTTACTGCTTTCCGGACAAGATGTTTTCTTGCGTCTTGTTCTTACCTTATACTTTTATCCTTGCCTTTAGCCAAGTGATGTGAAGTGGGCTTCGCGGTGGGACGCCTATCTGCTCATGACTGATGACCAAATTCACTGGTTCTCTATTGTGAACTCATTGATGATAGTTCTCTTCCTCTCGGGCATGGTGGCGATGATAATGCTTCGAACACTTTATCGTGACATATCAAAATACAATGAGCTTGAGACACAAGAGGAAGCCCAAGAAGAGACTGGTTGGAAGCTTGTCCACGGCGATGTGTTTAGACCCCCTAACAACTCGGATCTGCTCTGTGTCTATGTTGGAACCGGTGTTCAATTTTTCGGGATGTTATTAGTGACAATGATGTTTGCCATCCTTGGTTTCCTCTCTCCTTCAAACCGAGGTGCATTGATGACAGCTATGCTTTTGCTTTGGGTCTTCATGGGGCTTTTTGCTGGTTACTCTTCTTCTCGCTTGTACAAAATGTTCAAAGGAGCAGAGTGGAAGACAATTGCCCTCAGGACTGCACTTATGTTCCCAGCAACTGTCTCTGCCATTTTCTTTGTATTGAACTCTCTCATATGGGGTCAAAAATCATCTGGAGCTGTGCCTTTCGGTACCATGTTTGCTTTGATCTTTTTATGGTTTGGGATCTCTGTTCCACTTGTTTTTGTGGGTAGTTATGTTGGATTCAAGAAGCCTGCTATTGAGAGTCCCGTGAAGACGAACAAAATCCCAAGGCAGATTCCTGAGCAGGCTTGGTACATGAACCCAGCCTTCTCAGTTCTGATCGGAGGAATACTTCCATTTGGAGCCGTTTTCATCGAGCTTTTCTTTATTCTCACCTCAATCTGGTTGAATCAATTTTACTACATCTTCGGTTTCCTCTTTTTGGTCTTCATCATCCTCATCGTCACTTGTGCAGAAATAACCGTTGTGCTTTGCTACTTCCAGTTGTGCAGTGAGGATTACCTGTGGTGGTGGCGGTCATACCTCACATCTGGATCTTCTGCACTTTACCTCTTCCTTTATGCCACATTTTATTTCTTCACCAAGCTTGAAATCACAAAGATGGTGTCTGCCATGTTGTACTTTGGTTACATGCTTATAGCTTCTTACGCATTTTTCGTGCTAACCGGCACCATCGGGTTCTATGCGTGCTTTTGGTTCACAAGGCTTATCTACTCCTCGGTGAAAATCGATTAGTTACAGCAGCTGGTTCGGGTTGAATATACTTTACTTGAAGAAGGATGAAAACAATGTTATGCAAGGTTGTCAGGTACCAAGGATTTGAAATTCGGGTCCCATCTTGTTTCGGATGTAACCTATTTCTATACAATTTTGAATTGAGGACGGCACGTGTATTTTTTTTAAATCCCTTTTCATTTTCTAGCTAAAATTCTTAATTTAGGATTCTTGTTAAGTACAGCTTGTGTTGTCGGTCATTCTTGGGAGAATCACGAGATTTCCGTAGAAGATGATGTTCTATGATCAAGTGTATCCTGACAGATATAATCTCGTCAACCTTATGCATCCCGGATTCGTCGGTTGATGCCTACAATTCTGAGACTTCTTTTTGTAGTCCTAAGATGAACTACTGACCGAATAGTTGAACTCTATTCAAGCTTATTGTTCACCTAAAATCGGCGGTTGGATTAGGATTCCAGTGAGCTGGACCCGTTTATTACTTTTATTGCCCCACAATTCACCTTTGAGGTGGTGTCCTTTTCGTAGTTCTCCACGGGAGAAGATAGGGAAGATAGGAAGAAGTGCTGTCAAATTCCGTACAGTAATTCTAACTTATTTTAAATTTTATTTTAAAGTCCCAAGAAATTTATAAATTGCTTTTTCCCTTAATGAGAAAAGAAGTTTAGGTAAGATCTCAAAATTTATCAGGGCCTGACCTATCTCAATTCTTAGGTTCCTTGAATATAAATAATTTTGTATATGCAATTGCAAAAATACTTAATTTTTTTTTTAAATATAACTTATCCACTCCAGTTCGCCGGAGTCTTGGCCAGCCTCCGCTGATGGAGAGCACCCAGCTGATACTGCCAGTCACTGGTTGATGAATTATAATTTTTCTAAGGAATAAAATAAGGGTATTTTTATAGTTGTACCAACAAACTTACATTTTTTTTTTTTACCAATAAACTTACATTTAAAAGACTTATGACTTGGTGACAATCTATGAATTTTGTAGAGCTTTGGGATGATTATAATTACTCTGAGACTAACATTTAACCCTCACGCCAGCACACTAATTATGCGGTTAGCATCCTAAATAACAGAACGACATCAAAATTTGCAGCATTACAACTTTCTCGACGGGGGTGGGGTGGGGTGGAGGTGGAGGCGGCAAATGATGAAAGATTGGATTTAATTTGATCCTTATTTTAAAAAAAAAAAAACTTTGTATCTATTTTCTCGGAGTGATTGATTTCAGTTTCCACTCAAAAACTGTACAGCATTTAAGTTTTTACGAGTCGTCTAAAAATGACTAGCCCGAGCATCCTCTCTGCATTTAAAAAAAAAAAAACCGAGTATCCTCCGGCGGCTGTGAGAAGTAAGCTGACTACAGTCACGGTGGCGCCCTTGCTGCAGGAAAGCACCCACTTCTGTCGTGCCGTTTTGCCTTGTAACGAGAGCGAGAGTTGAGGGTCTTGAAATCTTTGCCACGTCTACGATTAATGTGTCACCCAGACGTGGTTGCTATTTTCTTTTCTTTTTTTTTTTTGCCCCTTTTCTCCCGAGGAAGAATACGTTCGAAACAGTCAAACAGGCATTGGCCTTCTTAACACTTTAGACCGTTGGTTCAGTAACGACTAAGGAGTAAGAAGGCACATAACCCCCGAAGACTGTGGCCCACACGCCAGGCTTTTCTTCTGCCTCTCCCTCTCAAGTCTCAACGGCTAGTTTTCTACTTTCTTGTCCCCCTATCATTAGTATAATAATCCCAACGCCAAACCCCTGACGCAACCTTGTAATACCTGCCGTTGTTGATACACGAAGAAGAAATACCCTCCTCCGCTCCCTTTTTGTTCTCTTATCAGAATCCATGGCTGGTGTCTCAAGAGCTGCCCCACCTTCCATTTACCTCCTATTCCTTCTCTTTGGCTTCTCTGCTGCTAAGGAAGTCCTGGTCGGAGGCAAGGCCGGTGCCTGGAAGACACCATCCTCGGAATCAGACTCCCTCAACAAATGGGCCGAACGGTCTCGTTTCCAAGTCGGCGATTATCTCGGTAACTACTTATATTATTATACCTTGGTTTCTGCTTTCTGCATAGAATCTCCATTAAGTAATCACTGATTCTCTCTCTTGCTCAGTCTGGAAATACGATGGTGGGAAAGACTCGGTCTTGCAAGTAAGGAGGGAAGATTATGCTAACTGCAGCACCTCCAATCCCATCAAAGAGCACAATGACGGAATACCAAGGTGAAGCTTGACCGTCCTGGGCCGTTCTACTTTATTAGTGGGGCTCAGGGGCATTGTGAGGAGGGCCAGAAGCTCATTGTGGTGGTTATCACTCCAAAGCGCAGGTTCACTGGTATTTCTCCGGCACCTGCTCCGGCTCCGACGGAGTTTGAAGGACCAGCTGTTGCTCCCACAAGCACTTCCTCAGCTTTACGCGGTGGCCTTATGGCAGTTCTGGGATTACTGACCATTTGGGCCTTCTGATGTGAACATCTCTACCATGTCTCATGAGATCGTCAGAGGGGAGCATATTCTTTATTATTCCTTTTTTTTTTTCATACATGTATGTGAAACTTTAAATTTTTAAAATTTTCATATTTTTTATTCATATTCCAATGCAAGTGATGAGAATTCTTACATGAGTGTAAACAACTTTGATCGTCTTCACCTTTGACACCGTTAAATTACCGCAGAAAATAGAGTTGTCAATAATCATATAAAAAAAACTTGAGGAGTAATGAAACACAAAATTGAATTAATCTCTCTAGATATCACTTCAACCATCGTTAAGTCCTTGTGGCATTCCTAAGCTTTGGGCTAGACTGCTCATCCTCTCCTTCATGGCCTGCAAAGATCAGTAAGGTCAAATTGAGTCAAAACTCAAAACCCGCACCCTTTTTAGATCTACAAAATGAAAAGGGGAAAAAAAGTCGGGATTCGGATCTCTCACCTGGACGCTTCTCTGATGTGCATCTTTATAAGCTTCAGTAACCAGAAGAGAGAGTTTCTGCAAATAACAATAATGAAGACTCAGCTTGTTAGGAATACTTGCACTTTTTGGAAATGTCCATCGACATCATGCTATAAAAAAATTTCCAAGCAGGTTTGAATACGTACTTCAGCTCCTAGTTCCATTGCCGCTTCTGTAATCTCAATGCGAACAGGCTGCTGGTTGCCAGAAAGAGTTGCCTGCACAAATGTCAAACAGCTTTCACTACTTTCACTAATTTCGCTTATAAGAAATGCCTTTAGGGCATTGCTAGTAGATATATCATTACCTTTATGAGTTCATCTTCACAATATCCGTCGAATTCTGCTCTGAAAAGGACAGGAGAAAACAAAACGTCATGAAGTCAATGCAAAATAGAAGTGAAAATACGATAAAAAGCTTCATCAAATAAAAATAAGAACTTACGCAGCAAGTTCTTTTTGAACACGCACTGCTTCAACTTGAACTACCATTTGAGCTTTCTTAACTGTGTCATATAGATTCTGCATATTACCCAGTATCCCTGACTATAAATCCAGGTAACATTGATTCAATATATGATCCAAGGCTCCATAGTTTATCAATAGAATTCCATTAGATTCGCACAATTAAATTAAGTTTCATGACTCAGCTAACGAACTTCTTATTTCACCTTTTACAACCTCTACACATGGGATGCTTGATATCACAAAATCTACTAAATAAAATAAAAAATAAGTAGAATTTCATTGAAACAAATATCAAGGAAAAAACTACTAAAAATATAACTTCCAGTAAAAACTGCATCAAATTGCAATATCTTTCCTAATCTAAAAAAATGGGAACCTAACCTAATCCATGAACCTGAATGCAATAAGCCCCAGATCTCTAAATTTATAAAATCTAAGCATATAAAACCACCAAAATATGGTACTTATCATTTAATACTCAATTAACACTCATCTTTATCTTCCCTCATTGGTGGCTTTTGAATCTCACTATTTCACACGCTTTTAAGCTTATTGTGACTACTCACAATTCCCACCCATCTTTTTATACTTCCAAAGGGCTATAGGAGGACAAAAAAAAAAAAAAAAAAGCGACGAAAGACAGTAACTGGTAACGCTAGAGGTACATGCAAGGGAAAAATATATATTGGACCAATCCTCATAGCAATTAGCACCACCAGTTAAATATGGACGTTTATATAGATTTACCAAACATTTCTCCCAAGAATATTCTAACGTGTATTATAACTTTATAATCAAATAATAAAACTATCAAAACTTGCTAGACTTGACAGTGATCAATGGAGGGATGGAATTCAATCTAGAACAAGATAAACTGTTCATATACAAGTCACTGTTGCTTTGTTTTAAATTTAAAGTAAAACATGACAAGTGTTATTTATTGGCTTAACACAAGTGATGCCACTCTTGTCACCTTTGACTTCAAATTCATGCTTTGGAAAAGAGAAAGATGAGCAGAAGTCTAAGTAATTATAATAAGCCAAAGGCTGTGGGGAACAGTAAAGTTTAAAGGTTATTGGTGAATAGATTGGTGAGAGAAGATGAAGAGAATGGATTTTTTTTAAAATAATTAAGGATATTTTATTAATTTGAAATAGCTCAAATTTCTAAATTTTCACAACCATTCCTAGGCCGGGATAAAAGGGGAGGGTTTTGCCAAAGCCTTAACAACTAACGTAAAACTTTATCATCAAATCTTTTATTACAAGGATGATGTTGTTGTAGTTAAAATTTTGTAAAGAGACTGATAGATCAGGGATCAATTGCATTTTTTTAAGAATAGGAGAGGCATTGCAATGGGAAAGACATTATTTTGGGGTGGTCACTTGAACACCACCAAACCAAACACATGCACACTATTTTGCAGCTGACTTTCACTATATATGTGACTTCCATTTGCACTTTCTCTACCAATTCTAGACATTTTTTTTGCATTAAAGGACAAATTTGCTTTAGAAGTTTTCCGCCAGGTACAACTGCTATTTTTAACTTTTGATTAGTATAATGTTACCCTGGAAGTTTCAAAAATGATGCAATGTCACCTTACAATAACGTTTGACTTATATTGACATTATTTTGAGTGCTAAAGGGCAATTTTGCCCTTGAAGTTTGTCTGCAAAAGTAATTGGCACCATAAACTTTTAATTAGTGCAATGTTTTTGAGTTATCAACTTTCAAATCAAAAAAAGAATCCAACACAACTTGTTATAACCCAAAATTAGCAAGAGATTTTAGGTTGAATGATATTGAATACCTTTATGTCTATTTTGCTCATAGGCAAATCTAAACAAGTTTTATTTAAGTTCATGGGAGTTGAGAATTGCTCATTGGCAAAATAAGGGCAAGTCTGAACTCCAAAAGAAAGTATGTGGGGTGCTTGGGGCAAAATTTATTTTACACCAAAGCAACTTCAGGTAAAACCTTTTGTCAAAATGCAGAGATGTGGACTATTTTTAACAATAATAATGGTTTGTTAAATTTTTATTCTAATCTAAACATTTATAACCCTAAAACATCACACAAATAGAAAGTTTAGAATATTAATTGCTCCTTCAGAAAAACTTCTAGGGCAAAATGGCTCTTTAACCTCAGTAAGAATTTTCAACAAACAGTCAATGTTAGTCAAACAGTACTATAAGGCAAAATTGCACTATTTTTTGAACTTCTGGGGTAATATTGTGCCAGTCAAAAGTCAAGGATATCAGTTGTACTTGACGAAAAACTTCCAAGGCAAATTTGCCTTCTAACCGCATCTTTTTCTGTGTCTTTTGGGTTAAGAGAGTTGTGTCATAGAAATAATATATGCATGATCTGTATGCCAAGCACAAGAAAAAAATTAAGCAAGACTGGATCATTAGGGGGGGGGGGGCTGAGATAAAATACTTAAGATATGGAAAGGTCAACAAGTAGTTAACTTGACCTTTGAGGCTGCATCATCCTCCTTTTTGTTGTTGTCCTTGTTCCCTCCAAACAAGCCATACACTTGGACAGATCGCAGGGTCTTCCCAGTCTTCTTTCTAGGCCGTGACACAGATGAGTAACTTTGATGATTGGCATATGGGTTTACCTCACCTAAATGAAGCAATAAATTATAATTATGCCATCATCTATATGCATGGAAATGAGACAGGAAAAAGATAAGGATGAACAAAAGAATTCCTATGTTAATTGGTAAACAGTAAAATAAAGAAAATATGAACTTGAAGATTAAGAACTTCCACAGAGTTACAAGGAAGAAGAAGCAAAATGAGAGCAAACCAGGTCGGGTAGGAATTATGCTCTGACTGAAAAGCAGGGTCTGAACCTTAGAGAACACTACAATAGCATAGAAAAAGTCTAAAGAAGACTATCTAATATTAGTCCCCACTTTTACTGATACTCACTCTGAATATTCATTCATCTTTCGGCCACCATAACATTAACACTTCCCAGGGGATGGTTCCACATCAATTAAGAAAGAGAGGTTTTTTTTTTTAGGGGGGAAAAATCTTATATTCACTATCTACAACTGATTAAGCATCCTAGAGCCCAAATTAAGGATGAAAAGTGGATGGGAACAAAAATTAACAAGAGGATATAGTTACTACTTACTACTTCCCCCATGTAACTACAGAAGGAAAGAGTTTTACAAGTTTAAAATCACATGGTAAAGGAATCTACCAAGTAAATGCACAACTTGAAAGAAACCTGGATATCAAAGTAGTGAACTAGTGATAGCAGAAGACCACCAAACCATAAAGACAGATGGATTTGACAGTGTTGTAGACCATGAGGATAATCATAAAAGAAAATCGGTGATGCACAAACTTCTAACATCAGCAAAGGAGAACAGCAATAAGCAAGCATAAAAAGCCTCAGTTACGGATGGGCCTTCTAGTACAAGTTGACGACAAACCCCAAAATCTTGTTTTTATCACAATACAACTATGTCCTAATCCTAATACCAGAATTAGGAAGGAAAACAAACAACCGATGAGCTAGGAACACATTTGGAAGCCCGGGCTAACTCAACACAATTCGAAACAAAGTCAACCAAAAACAACATTTCCTAAAATAATAATCTTTTGGTGGGAACAAATAAAACAGTGCCTTTAATTTTATTTTTTTTCAATTAAGGAATTAAATCCTTCCAAGCCTGAATCGACAATATCCACCACCAATTAATAGAATGATTTTTTCTCAAAAGCCCCTAAAATAGCTTCTATTGTTATCCCCATCAGGGAGGAGGGGAGCTAGCACATAATGAAAATCTTTCTCTGAGCAATTAATGCATTCTGATAAATTTTCACGAGACGCGGTTAATAATCATCAAATGCTACACACATAGGTTTCCACATTTATAAGAAGCATATGTCATTAATATGTTGAACCCAGTATATGAAACTTAACAGAGAAGCAAAAATAACATACTCAGGACCAGAAAGCATCAGATTCAGAAATGAGTACAGAAATTCTACACGGCAAGAAAAAAGATTTGGAGGTAGCCGCCGAGCAAAATTGATAATCAAAAAACAGAACCACGAAGAAGAAAATAGGTAGGGAGTAGGGGGCTTACAGAAGAGCGAATTTGCAGGTAGCTTAAGTGGGCGGCAGCTTGTTAACTGTGATGCAAAAGATGCTGGGGCAGCCATTTTTGTAGCCTTAAATTGAATGCAATGGAGATGGTAATGACGGCACCCCGAAATTATTTTTGTTGGTGTCATTCCGATCCAGTCCGCAGTGTAAAGTTCACTTCTTTGACGGGTAGTCGAGGCTGTTACTCGGAATTTATTTTTGGATGAAATTATGATATGTTTTTCTAAATAAAATTTTTTACAGGATCGCAAAGTTTTTTCCCACTTATTTTAAATGAACTGTGTCCTAAATAGCTTAAAAATGAATCGAGTTCTATTGTTTAAAAATAGCATGTACATTTGTGTAGGAGTAATATTTATGAAAATTTTAGTTTATTCTCTTTTTTAATACATGCACAAGCTAAAATTAAGTTAAAAGTTAGGGGGAGGATTTGCGGTCAAAAGTTAGTGAGAGTCCAATGTTTTCAGAATATCAAAAATGTCAGTAGTTTATAGTTTACATGATTCAATTAGGTTGGATCAATGGTCAAACTGATGATATAATAATTAAATTAAAAAAATTATATATGTATATAATAATATAAATATAAAAATAAATATAAAATTACTATTTAATTTTAAAAAGTCAAATATTTTAAGTTTATTATGACTTAACAAGTCACATAATACAACATAACATCAAATGATTAAAAAAATTAATTATTTTCTAAACAAAATTTGATAAAAAATAAAAAAGTTTTTTTAACAATTCGCTTCTTTCTTCCCGAAGTTCGATCGTCAGTTTAAAACGGCCCAACTTAACTCCATTCCTAAAATAATTTTTTCATATTACCAAACCAAAATCCAGATGATCTGGTTTTGAAATCACTAAGTGAGACTATAAATCCACAACCTCCGGGTGATGAAGATATGCCTAATGTCACTTGCCCACGAAGCTGTTGGCTAGTTTATTCTAATTTTTAACAATTCTACCGAAACGTAAGCTATATATTTAAAACATATTCATTTATATTTAAGAACTTATTATTTACTAGAATTACCAATAAAACCACTGTTTTTCACTTTAAACGCGCTGTTTCCTGTCTCTATCTCCATCATTCCCCAAACAGAAAATGTTTTACTTTCTGTATAAAAATGTAAGGTATTTTTATTACCAAACCAAAATCCAGATGATCTGGTTTTGAAATCACTAAGTGAGACTATAAATCCACAACCCCGGGTGATGAAGATATGCCTAATGTCACTTGCCCACGAAGCTGTTGGCTAGTTTATTCTAATTTTTTAACAATTCTACCGAAACGTAAGCTATATATTTAAAACATATTCATTTATATTTAAGAACTTTATTTTTTACTAGAATTACCAATAAAACCACTGTTTTTCACTTTAAACGCGCTGTTTCCTGTCTCTATCTCCATCATTCCCCCACAACGAAAATGTTTAAAAAAACATTTACTCCTTCTGTATAAAAATGTAAGGTATTTTTAACCGAATCTTATCTCAAAAAGTAATTACTTACTTTCAAACTAACCCTATCTTTTTATATTATCCCTATTAAACACTCTACAATCAATATAAAGTCATTATCAATAAAAACACTTTCAAAAAAACAATAATTACACTTAAAAAGATTAAAAATACCTTATATTTTTTTACAAAAAGAAGTATATGAATATTTTCCAAATTGATATTCAAAAATTTTCCCATAATTTTATTTTTAACATGACGATAAAGTCAGATAAGTATTATCTTTTTTTTTAAAAAAAAAGTCATGTATAAAGTTAATATATTGATAAACAATTTTCGATTTCTCAATTTTATTTTGGTTATCATTTAATCAAACTCTTAATATTTTATAACAATACACATAGTTTTATGGTTTAAAAGGGATGCAAGGTAGATATCAGAAGGGATATGAATGGAATACGTTCATGAGCAATACATTGATGTTTACTGTTTAGGTTGAGGACATAATTCTAGATCCTCATGTGGTGTAGCCGTATGATTATCAACTTTTATAAACTTGATTGATAAATATTAAATTTAAAACTAGATCATAAATTAAGACGCATTTAAAAAATTCAAAATTTCAATATCTCACATACATCTTTAAAAAAATAGATATAGAATACATTTAAAAAAAAACTAGCATATCAATATCATCAACATATAATATAGAAGTAATAATCAGCCTTTGTCATAAGTCATGAACAATGCTCTACGTAAATAGTAAAACCCACATTATAATTAAATTTAATTTAAACATATTAAAAAATGACATAATTTTCTATTTATTAAACTTTTAAAAAAATTAAATTACTATTTTTAAAATTTAAAAAGGAAAAAAAAGGCTTTAGACATACAGAATCAACCACTCTTGCACATCATTCACAAACGTTGGAAAAGCGCTGTCACAGGAATACAAACTTTGAAAGAAGTTGGCCTCCACCATTTTCCAACCAAAACGTCAGATGACTGTGCATGCTTGGTTTATGGTTTAGAGATAATTTAACCACAGACGAAAACCAAGCATCAACATGGTCATCTAAAATAGAAGCACATAAATAGTTTTACATACTAAAACAGCACAGCAGAGTAGCAACCCAGTCATATGTAAGCATAGCTCTCATGCATAATTTAAGATTAAAATCTAACACAGACAACTACAGAAAGATTTAAACAATGCATGCCTCCTCCCTAGCCACCGCGCATTTTGGATAGTATACTTGTGAAAACATATCAACACGCCCTTCTTTCTCCTGCTACTTATCAGAAATAAGACGCCGTTGACAGCCATTGACAGTCTGCATCTCCCATAGATAGAGATCCAAAAGCAAGGAAACCAACAAGGCCACCTCAATATTGCCCCCAGTGAGTTGGATAAGAATGGTTGCCAGCACAGCTTCATTTCATTCGCTGAAACTGTGAAGATTTAATTCCCAGCAAAAACAAATTCAGGCAGCAAAAGGAGAGGCATGTATTGGTCATATTGGTCTTTGATAGTATAAAACAACAAACTCCATTAACCTGTGACGTGAGCATGTCCTTCTGCCTCATTCATCAATTTGAGCAGAATTATGAGCATCCCCCACCCTCCCAAATAAGAAGAAAAAAACTAGACATGACAACATTAAATGGAACAACCTAATATAAGCATGCATTGGTCAATCATCTTTAGTTATGCATCTCATATTATTATGAGCAATTGGGGGTTCTCACACTATTAGGACATATAGGTACTATCATTTGAAATTTATGAGCAAGTAGACTGGTAACAACCCTCAAAGCTCATTGTTTCTCAAATAAATTATAAATATCACCCAAAGAAAGAGGATGAGAGTATTGGATGGTCTTCATATCCCCTTCTCTGTAATAAATTCACATCCTTCATGGTTTACTACAAATCTAAGGACATCTACACAAACTAATATTCATATTCCTATTCATATAACCCATCAATCTCAAACATCAAATGAAATGGACCAACCATATTCAACTCATCTTTGCCTCAGATTCAGAGGTCAGAAGCATAGTTCTCTCACAGAACCATGGGACAACTTTGCCCTTTCTCATTTTAGAACTTGCATGAGCACGGAAGTTCTCATATAAATGGATATTATATGTACAACACAATTATGATTTTCCAGGAGAAAGGTTTTCTTTATTTTTCTCAATGCAGCTAAAGAACACGTACCCTTTATTCACATGCAGCTATACTAAATACTTTATACATCAATCTCACAAATAATTGGCCTCTTTCTCTGTATTTCCCTGTTTCAAGACATCATCTAATGCTGGTACTCTTCTTTCTCTGTTTCCTCTCAGTTTCATGGCTTCCTCAAGAGGAGATCAATTTTTCAATTTATAGAAAACCCATTTGCGTTAGCTCTTGCATATTACAAAGGAATCAGGATGGACACCTTTTTCATTTTTCTATAACCCTTGAAATCACTTTAACTTTGATGCGTATGAATTCAGTGTCGATGTTGGATAATTGTGGTAATTATTATGTATTTTATTTTGAAAATAAGATTCTGTTAGTTATTATATTCATGCAGTATTACTATTTTGGATTATATCAGATGTCTAGTTATTTGCGCCATGCTTCAGTATTGCAATGCAAAACACTGTGGGCATGGCTCCAAAAGCCATTCATGGCAACAATGCATTGAACACCATAAATACCTATGGGTTCAATATGCTGTTGCTGTGTTTAGAATGCGGTGTGATAGGAATATTTTGCTAGGAGTTCAAAAATTGCAATTCTTTCAAGAAGGTAATTATCAGTTCCTTACAGGGGCACTTTGTTTTTATCTTTAGGCTTTGTAAAGGTCCTATTATGAGATGACTAATTAATAACTTAGAAGTCAAGCTCACAGTACATTTGGCAATCCATTTCTATTTTCCGATTAAGTTAACAGTATTTGTTCCATACCATGTTACTAAGAAAAATTTTAAGGGAAAAAGTATCTTCCTATTGTATTCTAGTTTCTTCATCTCAGTTCAACTTTTTACATCCAGTAGGAAGTAGGCAACTTCAAAATATACTAGCATTTAATGGATAAGAGGTACCAGATTAATAGGCAATGTGATGTTTAGGAAGTTGAAAGGAAGGAATCCAAGGATCAGGTCAGAATTCATCATACATGCAGATGAAGTAAATTAAAAACCTTAATGAAAGATCGAGCTGGTTACCACATGAAAAGGCATAAAAATTGGGACATTAAATTTTAAAGTAAAAAAGCACACGCCAAGAAGCTCTACCAGAATTCAAGAGAATCAGTTCACAGTTATTGATCGTCTTCATCTGAAATGTCTATTGGTATTGGTCCCTTAATACCGCTAGCATTGTTACCAAGAATCTCCCGGGCTGCTTTCTCAAGAAACTCTTTGGCAGCAGCTTGAACAGACTGTTTTTCAGAAGATTGATACTTCCTCTTTTGACCACTCCTCTCCTGATTATTCATCTTTGGCCTCTCCCCTCTACTTAAACTCCTCATATTTTGCCTCTGCTCTGCATGAAATAAAGACAATCTTACAAATATCAGATCAAGTTTGATGAGACACAGATGATATTCCAAAAAAACACTTCATAACACACACCTGGAGTAAGATCGGGCAGTGAGTGCTCAATAAAACGGGTAGCTGCCTGATAATTCAAGGTAGTAGAAGGTCGTAGTGGTTCTTCACAATCAACAATGAAATTATTCAACTAAAGTCAAAAAGCAGATAAGCAAGACAGAGAACAGTGCTAATGTAAATTGGAACTCTCCAATAAAGTAGAAAGATATAATGCATAATTTGCTTTGCATTACAAAATTGCCCCATGTTTCACTCAACACACGACTAATAAGTGCATTCTTCAAAACAAAGAAAAAGAAACAATAATTGTACCTTTACTCAAATCTTCATTCGATTTAGTTTGTCTTGGTACAAGCTTAGTCTGTCCTGAGAATCATAATTAATTATTTAAGCAGGCAGGAACATAAAGGCTGAAAGAAATCACTCACACACTTTCAAGACATAATTTAATTATCGATGGCTATATCCACAAAAAATAAGCAAGTAATAATGAGTGCTAATCATAACTATTTATGGGACACCATGGTGCATGACATGACAGCGCAGTCATTGTCAATTTTGGTGCAAGCCAAGGTAATCAAATGCCAAAGGCATCTTTAAGTTGCTAGACCTCCAAAACACCTTAAGTAAGAAACACAAGAGAGGTACGTACTCAAGTGAATTAAGGTTGAATAATTGAAAAAAAATGCTAAATAATAAATAAGTAAAGGTCATTTGAGAAGAGGAAGAGGTAGTGATTTAGTTGTGAGCCTTAATATTGTACCATGCACATTATTCTTTCTTCTATTCAGATCTCTGAGACTGAAACAGATTAAGGAGAAGAGAAAGATTTTGTTAGTTATGAGGCTTGGACTCTTAAAGTTCCATCGCCAATGCTCTTTTTCTTCCTTTCTGTTTTGATCTAGACTTTAGCTGCCCTTATCTTATGGTTGTGGTGGTTCCTAAATTTTCTCCATCGGTGCGTCCATTTACAAAATCCTAAATACTAATAGCCGAATATTATCTTAAAGGTGAAACTAGATTTCATTTCTGTGGCATTGCACAGGTGGTATATTTTTTGTTTTCAATATCTATTAAATTTATTTATTATATATAAGTAGTGCTGAAAGAATTATAGAAAGTATCATAAAATATTATGTCGTAAAATGTGTTAAGGGCAAAATGAATATGATATGAATATGAAATGCATAGATTCCTAAGATGAAGAAATGGATTGCATGTTGATAAGGAACAAATTTAATATCAAGAATGAAAATCCAAAATTCTTTGTTATAATAAGAAACAGACAAGATAAGACAAAGTCAAGAACATTTACCAGAGCATACTTTGCAAATTAAAAGGTAAATTGTTGTATAAATTCAATCAGTTGATGCTGTAATGTAATAACACGGTATTATTTTTATTATTTCTCAGTTACATAGAAAAGGTAACATAAAACAAACCCGTGATGGAAGCATTACAGATTGATCAAGGGAGTTGTTAAGTCCCATATTGTCAGGGACTTCAGGAGTCTTTGGACTATATAAACGGGTGCACTGCACACCCTACCGGGTTAACCTTTTTAGAGCAAGAGTAATGGTCCCATAACACTCTGCTATGGTAAAAGGCACTGGGGCGTACTGCATGGAACATTTAACTTATAATTGGGGGATTTCATGGTCCACTCTCAATGAAAACCCTTGGCTTAAACCCTCAGAAGAAACCAGTTGAGCTCCAACTCCAACAATTTCTCATTCATTCATCAATCTTTGCATCAATAATGTTTCCTTCTTTTATCTCAGTAATATATCTATTTCTTCAGCCCTTCCTCTCTGTTTTATCTCTCTCCCTTACTATTTTTATGTTTTCTATTATGCTTTCTGTTTGAATGACATGCAAGAAAGCCAACAAAAACAAAAACAAAAACAAAAAAATTGCACCACAATTACGGTGGCAATATAACATGCACCAAAATTAACAAGAACGTTATCCCGTGATCACGAGCACAAAAGTGATTAACAATTAACTACAACATGGAACTGGAGCAATCCATTTGATCAAATACATTCTATAAGCAAGGTACTCTACTACTCCGACTTGACAGGGTGATCATCTGGGTGAACCCCACTACATCTCAACTTCACTGGACAGAAAAAGCAAAAAAAAGGAGGGGGAAAAAAACAGTAATAAGAGAACAATCCATTCAAGTCGAGTCATGGTTGAAGTTGACAATTTGATATAAAACTAAATTTAGGAGAAAAATCGCTCTCGTGCTCAAAAACTTGGCTTACAAGTATACAGGGTTGAAGTGATTTTGGCGAGCAAGAACAGGGATTGAGCCCTTTGAAGAGTGGGCATTTGGGAGAGAACTTCAGGGTCTGAAGAGACAAAAAACTCGTGCAAGTGAGACTGAACCTCTTCTACGTTGGTCAAAGTCTGGTTTACTGCATCCATAACTGATTCTGGCACAGCACCGCCGTCCCTTGCAACTCCTTTCATTGTCTCGTTATGGGTGTTAAAAGAGTCAGAGAGGCACACTCACTGAAGAGGAGAGATACGAAAGCACATAAATTGTAGGGCAGAGAAAGAAAATAGAAACAGTTGCTGAGGCCTCTCCTCTGTATGAGTACGGCTAGGGCTTTCAAGATTTGAACAGAACCTCAGTGACGCAAAATTGTTGCCTGTTCCCTTCTCGCGCTGTTTTCGTCCCCCCGTCGAAGAATACTTCCTGAGGGGAGGTGAGGTTTAGGGGTTGGTTTAGTATGTAATCTTCAGGTACGCTCGCTAGCCCCGATAACGGGAATGAGAAAATTTTAGGTTCGTTTGAATTTTAGTTGAGTATAATAAATTATAAAAATAATTAATTAAGTAGTAAATTTTAATTATAATTGATTATGTTATAACGTAATTTATTTGGATACTGCTTTTTTTAAATTAATTTTAACAGAATTAAAGATATTTAGATAATTTAATCAAAATAATTTTTAAACTGTATAATTTAATTTTTAAATATCAAATATTAATTTTTTAAATATATAAAGTTTAAATTTTATTAAGGAAAAAAAGAAAAAGAAGAGAGTTTAATTTTATTTTTATTAAATTATGTGCTTTCTTTGTAATTTTTTTCTGGGCCTGTTTTTGTAATTTTCTCCAACGTTTTTGACAAACTTTTTGGCAAAAAGCGGACAGATGGAGCTTTTGGAAAAACGCGCGTTTTGGCCCATAATCGATTTTTGATCATTTTCGACTGTTTGGATAAATTGACAAAAAAAATCGATTTTTGGTTCAAAACGCGCGTTTTCTCCTTATCCAAACGGGGCATTTATTCAAGAGCCATTCATCACGTTTAATAAAAAAGATCTTTCAAATGTATAAAAATTAATTATTTGGTATTTATAATTTTAATTTGATTATAATTTAAACCCTGAATTTTAACTCATTATAACTCAATCCTTAAAGTTTTAATTCGATTAAATTTAATCCCTTAACTTTAATCCTTGTGACTTAGTTTTAGAGTTGAGAATACGGGCGGGTTCGGTCCTTAAGGGCCTGAGTCCTAAAACCCATTCCCTATTTTGAACCCCGTTCTCAAATCCGGCTTTTATATAAAGGGCTTAAGGTCAGGCCCGCAAATCCTTTTTAAAAAAAATAAAAAAATAAAAATAAATGTTATAAATTATTAAAATATTCTAAAATTAAAAAAATAAAATCTCATAATTTTTTATTTAAAATTAAACAACACACATTTAAAAGTTTAGTAATAAAATTTAAATCTTGGTTAAAAAATAATTTATTTTTATAAATACACAAACATAATAATTATAAAAAAATAAAAAATATCAAGAATTTTATACTATACACTGATATTTATTAAATTATATTAAATTTATTTTACAATAAATTAAAATTTAATAATAATATAATGTGTGTAGGATCAGGTGAGCAGATCATTAGCTTCAAACACGAGTTCCAATAAAGAAAATAATAATTAATATAACAGGGCTTGAAAGGCTATCCGAGTCCGAGCTCCTTTTTTACAAGGCTTATCAAGGTCAAACCCTCAAACCCGATTATTTTAAAAAAAGTTATTTTCAAAGTCTGAACTCTTATTTAAATAGGCCTCCAAGCCCGGCCCTTATTCCCAGCTCTATTAGTCTTTATAATTTTAACCACTTAAATATTGGTCTCTATATCTTAAAAAATAAAATTACAAAGCTTAAAATTATTTGTTAAAATTTATTACTAATATTTTAAATTATTCAATCCTTTTAATTCTTTATAAATATTAAAATATTTGTAATTTTATAATTTTATTCTTTAAATTATAGGGACTAAAATTTAAGTAGTTAAAATTATAAGAATTAAATTGCAAAAGGTAAAGTTTAATAATTAACTTACACTTGAGTAAAACTATAAGCCATTGAACTATAAAAAATTAAAATTTCAAGAACTAAGTTTATAACAGAGTCGAAATTATAAGGATCAAGTGATTAATTTTCTCTTAAATTTTGAAACTTCACTTAAGCAACGAGCAGTGAAGAAAAATTGAAAGTTGAGAAAGATGATAATATTAACCTTCTTTCAAATTAAAAAAAAAAACTTTTCACATTCCTTTTTCTTTACTCTCCCTCTCACTCTCAATTCCCTTTTTTAATTTTCTTCACTCTCTCTCTCTCACTCTAATTCTCACTTTAAACATTGCTTGCTTATTTTTCTAAAGGAAAAGAGTTTTTTTCTATCTCTTTATAAAGCTTTACAAGAACACATATCTTCTTCTTCTTCCACCCTTATAGAATCTGAGTAAAGCTATTTGGCCAAACCTAAATACAATTCAATTTGCATTTTGAAAAATAAGCTCATTTTGGATCTCCTCTATCAAAAAGAGTGTACCATGATCATGCACTCTCAAATCTGACTTCAAAGGTCTCAACTTTTTCCATTTCCCCCATGGTTGGTAATGTTTAATAACCTCCACCTCTATCATTATTAAGCAATCACAATAAAAGCAGGGAGTTGTTGTATTAATGTATTGCAAATAAAGCTAAAGTGAATAGATCTCTTTATGTCACAACTGCAAAGTTTAGTGCCTCGAAACACAATATAAAATCTAGTTTTTTTAGTCCACACATGTTTATTTACAATCCTTAAGCTTTCTTTCTTAACTGTAAAGGGTAAGTAAGACATGTTATTTCTAGCTACATTATGCAATATCTTTTCCTTTTAAGATTGTGTTCTTGATGACATGCCTACAATCTTATCAGGGAAGATGCAAGCATTATTTTTTTACCTTTTTTAATTTTTCTTCACTCTCTCTCTCTCTCACTCTAATTTCACTTTAAAATTGCTTGCTTATTTTTCTAAAGAAAAGAGTTTTTTTTCTATTCTTTATAAAGCTTTACAAGAACACATATCTTCTTCTTCTTCCACCCTTATAGAATCTGAGTAAAGCTATTTGGCCAAACCTAAATACAATTCAATTTGCATTTTGAAAAATAAGCTCATTTTGGATCTCCTCTATCAAAAGAGTGTACCATGATCATGCATCTCAAAATCTGACTTCAAAGGTCTCAACTTTTTCCATTTCCCTATGGTGGTAATGTTTAATAACCTCCACCCTTATCATTATTAGCAATCACAATAAAAGCAGGAGTTGTATTAATGTATTGCAAATAAAGCTAAAGTGAATAGATCTCTTTATGTCACAACTGTAAAGTTTAGTGCCTCGAAAACACAATATAAAATCTAGTTTTTTAGTCACACATGTTTATTTACAATCCTTAAGCTTTCTTTCTTAACTGTAAAGGGTAAGACATGTTATTTCTAGCTACATTATGCAATATCTTTTCCTTTTAAGATTTTGTGTTCTTGATGACATGCCTACAATCTTATCAGAGGAAGATGCAAGCATTTATTTTTTACCTTGGTTCTATTTCAAACTTTGAAGGTTTATTTTTCTCACTTTTAGCCATGACTTAAGCTTGGTTCTTTTTCTTTTCAAGACTTTTGGTGCCCCTGATGCAAATTCCAACAATATTGTTGTTGTTGTTTGCTTTTAAATATTTATTTCCACCATTGCACATTGCATTCTTCTTAAGAATTGAAGTTTCAAGAAAATCTTGAGGGTTTAGAGAGAAATCTCCTCAATAACCTATTGTAATTATGAACAACTTTAATATGAAATTTGTTTTACCATGATTACAATACGTGAAATAAATTCAAAATTTAATAATGACATAAACAACTCTTATAGGCAATGAACAACTTCATGTAAGGAAATAAAGAATTTCAGTATGGACAATGAACAACTTTATTTACCATGATTACTGTATTGTCACCCAATTTGACCACATACTTAACAACTTGAATTAAACCCTATAATGGTAAGTATGCACGGACCATTCAAATTTACCATGGCAAATAGAAATTCTTGTATGACATAGGATCCTAAGTTTTGCAATTTAAATGTAAAAGATTTAGGTCAAAATAAATCTAAATTAGAGTATCAAAGCATACAGAAGTATAGAATACTAAATAGGCTTGAGAACATTTTCTTGCAAGGGGTAAAAATGTCATTTTCTAGCATATGGAGCCATTCATTTTGGCTAACGGAACATGCATCGTGGCTAGATGTTCTTTGTGTCATGCACCACAGTGCATTGCATAAATATGATAGTATTATGTTGTCACGTGATAGATATGGGAGCCAATTTTCGATACTCCCTAATTCTCTGTTCGACTAATCACAATCTTCCACTAAAGCGAATTCCCACCATCTATATGACCACGCCAACACATCTTATGGTAAATCACATAGCATATCACATTATCATTATCATACTTGTAAGATTATCTTTACTAATCTATAATTAACTCTAAAATCAAGGAAATCATGAGACTAACTCAAATGGATTACTAAGTTTGTAAAATTTGTATAAATGGGATCCTAAATTTTTAAAACTTGAAGTGCTATAAAATCATTCCATAAACTAAAATCAAAGCAAAACTTATATATGGAAATATGAACATCATACAAGATAAGATAATATCAAATTGGGTTAAAAGAGCAAAAACAAAAACTCTAGAAAAATATGATACAACATGAGATTTTATGTTGCAACATAAACTATAAAACCTATGACAATAATGTAGATTTTATAGCCGAACTTCCAACACGTTCCATTTCTCTGTTCAATATTCAATTGAGGTGATCTTGGTATTTATAGGAAGTTTTCTTCGAGCTCTAACGAATGGCATTAGTTTTACATTCAAATCATTTCTCAATCAAAAGCTAGACACCAAAATACAAACTCATTCATTTATAATTTTAAAACATAATTAGAGTGTCTAAAACTCAATCTAAATATCAAAAGCCAACACAAATCCTTAAACCACATTCAATAAACTATAAAAAATTCATGCAATACACCACAACAATCAAACAACAACATATCACATTCTCACTACTCAACCCCTCGATCACAAAAAATAAGGGGGAGCCAAATTATGTAATTTTACATCTAAATCACCATCATTCATAAATATACTTACGTCTTACTTGCACAAGCATTTTAGCTCCGCTCAAATATTTTAACTAAAAAGATATCACACGCACTAGAGCTCAAAATACACATTTCTATACTCAATATTCAATTGTACAAATAGAAAAAAAATATGAGCATCCTTATTGACAATATCAATTAATTGCACATATGCATTTAAAATTATGAGAGGCCTATAGTAGAAAACTGAGTTCCTAAGCCTCTTGTGCTTTCCCTTTATC